AGAACCATGCCGACGAGCACAATACTGGCAGGAATGACCTGGCGTCGAAGTCTGAAGTGATGCTGAAGATTAATGCGAAGCTGAAGTCGGATGTGAAGCTGAAGTCGGATGTGAAGCTGAAGTCGGATGTGAAGCTGAAGTCGGATGTGAAGCTGAAGTCCGGTCACGTCCTTTGTTCTTCTTATATGCGGAGATGGCACACAGCTGGTTAGATGGAGCACGAATGGCAGAAGTCGCACTTCTGGTGGCTTCGTAAGAGCGGCAGGTGGTGACAACATCCTGTAGAGAAGAGGCAGTGTCGAGGGAGATAAGCTTCTGAATTAGCTCTTCGTCCCGCACGCCCATGAGGATAATCATCTTCAGCTGTGTTTCCTCACAAGTCAACGAGTTCCCAGGACAAACGTCAACCTCCTCAGCGATGCGTTGGAGTCGTACGTAAAAATCGGCAAACGACTCACCCTCCAGCTGCTTACAACTGAGAAGTTCTCTCCTACGGAGAGCTTCGTTGCGGAGACCCTTGATATGCGTCTGTAAAGCATCCAAGACGTCCTTCACAGTCTTGTCTGTGTTGTGGGGAATTTGCAGGGTGTGCTCCAGGATACGTTGCATCTCTAGGGTGAGACACATCCTCATCTGGATCAGCTGTTTCTCCCTAGGCAACCTTGATAAATCGATCATCATCGAATAATCGTCCCACCTCCGACGCCATTCACGGAATACCTGGAACGAGGCATCAGCTTGGAGTGGCGGTGGACTCTGAGCGAGTGCTTTCTGTGGGGGGGGCAAAGAAGTTGAAGAGGACCCTGCAGGCGCGCCTGTGGACGAAGAGGCAGGTGCAGTAGCTGCTTGAAGGGTAACAGGTGCCAACAACTCGATAATGGCACTGAATCTGGCATTTTCTTGTTGACGTCTGTGATTCTCTTCACGCCTTCGTTCATCGTCTTCCTGTCGCCTCCTGATGTCGTCTTGTCGTCGGTTTTCTTCCAAAAACTGAAGTAAATGAAGGAAGTCGACACCTGTGGCAGATTGCGGACGTGTGTAGTGGGGGCTAAGGGTGGGTGGGGCCGCTTGATCCACTTTGAGCTCCACTTGGAGACCACTTACTGCACCGACATCCGTCTCTAGTTGGTCTTGTTGGGTATCTGAAGAAAACCCAATAAATTCCTGATCTTCCATATGGCCTGGTTTATTTCTCTCACAATTACTGTAATTAATAAGTGAGCAGAAAAGCAATCGTCTTTAAATGGAAGATATCTGCGAGCGCCTGTGAGTGTGTGTGTGTGCGTTCGTTCGTGCCTGTACTCGGGGCAGGTGGCTAGCGCGCTGGCTGACTCACTCGGCAGTGCCATTCGAGACGTGAGTGGGTAAGGATGTCAAAACTTGAGCTCTCCCATAGGTCTTAAATAGGCTTCCCTCTTTTGTAAATAGTGCAGGAACACAGGGAAACACTTTAAAGACACTAAAGGGCACACAGAACACTAAAAAAGCACTTCACAACACTGCACTGTAAATCCAGGAATATCGTGTGGAGGTAAGCCCGAGATCGGCTCGACAGGAGGAGTTGACAAGATGGCGGCTCCGAGAGAGATTCTGTGTCCACTCCAATTCTGAATAATGTGATGTCCCAGCTAAACACTGCGCCATGTGGGAGACCCAGGTGATACTTCCAATCAGGGGTGAAGGAAACACACTGGTGTCAAGTTCGTAAGTTCTATTTCTGGGACAAACACACAAAAGGAGTTAAGACAGGGGAAACAGCGTCCTGTCTTGGAATCTCTCCCGGTATCTCTCTCTGCGCATGCGCGTACAGCGTGCATGTGCCTAAAACATGAACTAACATTCAGTGACAAAAGGGAGTATGATTATAACATATAATACAGAGACCTGAATCAATAATGGTAAATAGTACAGTTACATATTACAGCATATTCGTCTCATATATCTACACGGCCCAGGTGCAGCCTCTTACACTTCGTGACATTGAATCTTAGCAGCCATTTCTTCGACCATTCTTGAAGCTCACAGAGATCCTTCTGTAGTCTGCTTGGTTCTTAATTTCCCGAAATAGCTTGGCGTCATCCGCAAACATTTGTATGGAGGAATGTACAGCATCATGCATGTCATTTATGAAACATTTATGGGTACACATGATGATTTCGTACCATTAATCACCACACACTGCTTGCGGTCATGGAGAAAATCTCCGATCCACACGAGGACATTTCCCCGAATCCCGTACCCTTCCAGCTTAATTTTCAGCGTTTCATGGGGTACGCTGTTGAAAGCCTTGGCAAAATCTAGGTATATATTGTCGATATTACCACCCTGTTCCAGAATTTGGGTCCAACCATCCAGTACCTCGAGTAATTGTGTTAAGCAGGAGCGCCCCGGCATAAAACCGTGTTGACAATTCTTTACATGGTAGTTTCGTTGTAGATGATCAATCAAGGCCTCTCTTATAATGCTCTCAAATACTTTACATACTATATTAGACACTATTTTCCTCCCCGGCATTACCGAAACCCCATCACAAGCAAATCCTACAAGAGTTTCTTGCAAATATTCTTCTGTAAAGCCAGGTTTGCTGAATTATGTAAGTAGGACACTTGTAATACTCTGCATTTGCATCTGTTTTATCCAGTAGCATAAAATCATATATATATATATATATATATATATATATTAGGCAGTGACCCTATTAATCTTCATAAGCACAGCAGCTGTTCGTAGTAAGGTTAAAGGGTCAGGTCATAGGAATATAAATATGTATATAATATTGGTTTGAACCTTAAGTACCCAAGGTCTTTTATAGACAAATGCCTTAACGTTACTCAGAAATCTTTTTATAGAACCGATCCTAAGCCCACCCATGACCATAAAAAATCTCTTAGTATTACCATTTCACAAAAATTTCTCTCAAATTCCTTTTCAACTGAAAACCTGGAACGATAATGTGGCATTTAAAAACTCATGCACTGTAAAACAAATGTTAATCAAGAACTCCCCCAACAATGCAGGCGGCTGCATTTACAAGGTTCCTTGCAAGGAATGTTATATGTTCTACTTAGGCCAGACAGGTAAAGATCTTGTAACTAGACTTAAACAACATAAATATAGTGATAGGGCAGGCCAAGAATCCAATGCTCTGTTCGTTCATATGAGAGATAATAAGCATTGCATTGACTGGGATAATGCCAGTAGGAACATTATAGAATCCAGTCTCATTAAACATACCGAATTCGTCGACATGAATTTGAGTAATGGTATGTACAACTGGATAATTTTGTAATTAAGAAGATTTGTAACCAGGTGAGAAGGTTGGGTCATCTTACCCTATGACCTGGGTCATCTTACCCTATGACCTGACTACAGACAGCTGCTGTGCTTATGAAGATTTGTAGGCTCACTGCCTAATGACCGGACCATTGTGGACACCTCCGGTCCCCTAGGGACTTGATCTCACTCTCCTCTACTGTATATATTAGCCTTGTCAAGTATTACTCCTTAGTCTGTACTCACCCCTGAAGTTGTTGTGAATTACACGATAGCACTTGGGCACTTCTTGTTTTCTTGTTTCCTTGTGCTTATTAGCATATACTTGGATCACGCACCTACAGTGAGTTACTTGCATATATATATATATATATATATATATATATATATATATATATATATATATATATATATATATATATATATATATATATATATATATTTATTTATTTATTTATTTATATATATATATTTATTTATATATATATATATATATATATATATATATATATATATATATATATATATATATATATATATATTTATATTTATATATTTATATATATATATATATATTTATATATATATAGATTTTTTTATATATATATATATATATATATATATATATATATTTATATATATATATATATATATATATATATATATATATATATATATATATATATATATATATATATATATATATATATTTATATGTATATGTATATGTATATACATATGTATACATGCATACGTGTATAAAGATAAATCTTGATAAAATCACACATTGCCTCTGAAGATGTCTTGAATAAAGACGAAAGCTAAGGTCCTCCATTGTTTCCCTTTTCCCTGTGTGATTTCATATATATATATATATATATATATATATATATATATATATATATATATATATATATATATATATATATATATATATATATATATATATATATATATATATATATATATATATATATATCTTTTTGTGGTGTGAGTGGTATTTTCGATATAAATTTTAACACAATAGTATGCATGCTTTTCGAATTCAAAAACATTACTTTTAAATAATGTCCTACTGAATTTGTTACTAATAGTCTTGAGCAGGCATAACCTCTGTAAGTAGAAGTAACTAGTCCCTTTATTTGTTGAATTTTTCTGCGTATTTTACCTATTAAAGTTTCCAAACTAGGGTAAACTACCCCATTAGGGCAATTTGACCAATTCAATGGCGAAATTCGGTAGTCTGCCAAAAAACAGAAAAAAATTATAGAAAGTGCATAGATAAAAAAATACATAATTTTGCAATCCCAGTTTTCCTTCGTAAAAACTAAGAGCTGCAGTAGAACCGGCTGGATGTGGCACTCTCCACCATCATGCACCGGATCGGCAAGCTGGCTACTACAAAGCAACCCCATTCGTCTCAATGTTCTTTGTGTTGTTTGTAACTGTGAAATCAGAGTTGAGGGAATCGTAAAAGTTGGATTTGGACTAAATTTGCTTCCATTAGTCTTATAATCTCTAGGGCAACGACTAAAAAAGAAGTTTGGGAACCTGAGAGTTGCTTCAGTTCTTCAAGATTTATCAAAGTAACTTACTTGAAATTAAGGTTATTTTTATTCTATAATTAAGTTTTAGAAATTTACTTTTCCCCTTAAAATAGGAATTATTGTATAGTTTATCTGCACAAACTAACATTGTCCTTATCTCTTGTCATTTCCATGATGCAGGCAGCCACATCTGCGTTCCACACAGTCTGGGAGCGGCATTCCTGGCTCCCAAGGTGAACTTTACTTGCCACCATTCACATCTTACTGATGACTCTCCTCTTCGGCTTTACAATGCGGAAGCTAATGCCACAATTCCCACCTTCCAGTAAGTTTGTTGTTGTCTCCAGAGATAATAACACGCTTTTAGTTATTACGTGGTACATTCAAAGGTTAATATTTGAAAAACATAATTTCCCAAGATTTATAAGTTTATCAATAACATTACAATAACGATTTGGGAGGAGTTTATTGTCACAGGTGACTTTGAAAGGTTTGTCACAGGTGACTTTGAAAGGTTTGTCACAGGTGACTACAAATTTACAGAGTTTTATTTTCGAGTTATGGTGTTGAGGTAGCCATTGTAGTGGAAATAGTTTAGTGGTTTATTTTGGGAAATGATGGATCTTATAACAAGCTCCAATAAAGTTAGAGGGCATATAAAAGCTAATAATAATTTAAATACGGTAAAATTCTCTTATGTAAATTAAGCACTCAACAAGGTACATTTCAGTGTATTCACATTTACAACTAGCATTAACATGTACTACTGCTACAACTACTACTACAACTACTACTACTACTACTACTACTATATTTTATTACCTTAAAATTAAATATCCTAATACATAAATAGATATCCTAGCTGTGTTGAGTTAGTTGAGCCGCCGATCAATGCGGCATTCAGTGACTGTTGCCTCATAGTCAATATCTGCAACTGTTGTCGGCTTTGGGGCCGATGCTCTCGTTCCCCTGAGGCAGAGCAAAGCAGACCTAAGGAGAGAGAAGGACAATCGACATCTCATCCAGGCCGTAACATAACTTCTGGGCTGCTGCTTCTGTTCGGATAGCACCTCCGCGAGTCTGGCATAGAAGCATCTTACACTTGGTCCCATCCCACCAGAGGTTGTGAACACCACAGGAGTGAAGCTGCCTTGATCAATGTTCTGAATTCTCTCCCCGTATGCCCTTATCTTGTCGTTCTCGTTCCTCCTGTGTGCAGTATCGAGAGCTAAGTTACGGTGACATGCGGCCATGGGATAAAAAATCCTGATGTCGAAGAAGGTTCACTGTCCTCACGTTCAGAATCCTCGAGCACTGACTTCAACACTGGCTTCGTTGGATGTATTTGAAGTCCTATGTTGGAAATTCTCACCATCCAATGGAAGGAGGGTCGGTTCTACACTGACATCACGACAGATTTCCTTCAACATATTTGCTGTGAGATCCCTTACTTCGTCATGCCTCATGCATATGAAGCCCCCTTCCTTGCACACCATGGCGTGAGCGACGTCATAGGAAGAGCCACACATGCATTGGGAGGGCAAACCTTCTACTGGCCTACCGTACCTTAGAGCATTGGCGTATGTAAATTCTTGTTTGTTGAGACTGAAACCATTTGCCCTTATCGGTAACGTAGTTATCCAGTTCGAGGCGCCCACTCCTGCGATATAGCTACTTTTTTTCAAATTATCTGGTACTTGAAGCATCAGTTGCTGCAACTTATCACTTTGGCTGTGCTGTCGTTCTGTCGTAATGAACCTTCGAATCTTTTTTACTTCAATACGACTACTACTACTACTACTACTTTCCTGTCATTCGAAATCGAGTATGACGATCATCCGATGATGACACAATGAAAAGAGTTTTTAGTAACGTCACCTTCGTTCGTGAGCTTTGGTACGCCAATACGGGACCAGCAAGGCAGATGTTGCACATGTATTGGGTAGTGCGGGAGGGGCGACAGTAGCGTCTTTCCGGTTAACTCGAAAGGATTGACACTTTCTCGTTTTGTGTTTTCCAAGCATTATGGTGTGGAGTGATCGTCTCCCAGGTGAGGGGGCCGATTTGCCACTTTTTCAGGTTTGTCTTAAGACTATCCTTGTACCTTTTCCGTTGCCTATCAGCGTTTCGTTTACCATTCTTTGGGTGATAGCAGAATAGCTGCTTTGGCTTCTACTGTCGTCCGTGCAGGCAACATGGCCAGTCCAACATAATCATTCATGGATAATGTCAGCCTCAATGCTCCTACAGTTGGTGTAAGCCAATCAGGGTCCGATACGACAAGGCGTCCAGAGAAGTGAGCTGCACCCAGGGTACATACTGTACACTCGGAAACCATATTCTCTAGCCCACCTGGGTCCGTGCTGGAGGTTAGTACAGTGTCCTTTCTGGACGGGGGCCCGCTCTAACTATCACGAGGCAACACACGCACGAACACACACAGTCAGAGTACAACTGTATAGATGATATCATGTATAAATATTGTATATGGTATTTTATACTCTGCATTATCTTCATTATATATGAACACGAAGAAAAATTACCATAGGTTGTAGTTACGAAAGTATGAATGAATATAAACACTTCCAAACCACCCAGTGAATCCACACAACGTTTACAGCGCTTCCACCACACCCCATCTATATCTTTTACTTCCCATCATTCGCATAACTATATGAAAAATCGTGTTTAATTTAACTACACATTTCAAAAATCTTAAAATACATGTGGATCAGTCACTCCTCATTTGACACACTTATAGTGCAATACTTTGACCATCCCACCTGGGCACATGGAGGCCCACGGTAATAAATGTGAAAAATGTTTTTGGGGTTTCAATTAACCAATAGTCATGCCTACAAAACAATCTTGATGCTCTAAGTGCATGTATGTGTTAAATAACGAGTAACTGATCCACATTATTTTGGTAAATAAAGAAATGAAAAGCAAGCACTTAGCCATATGGATATAGTTACACGGAAGAAGGGAAATAAGGATGAACCATGGTTTTGATGGAAACACTGTGCTCTGGTACGATGCTCACAATGACGAATGGGAGAAACCTCTTTTTGAAACATCTTACCTACTAAGGATGAAGCTTAATGTTACGGAACACACACACACACCTGGAAGACGATTACTCCACACCGTAACGCTTAGAGGAACACCACACGAGAAAGTGTCAATACTTTCCAGTTAGCCCGACTGCATACCGAGGCAGCCAAGCACTACCGCCGAAAAGGCACTGCCGCCGCCCCTCCCGCACTAGATGTTGCCCTCCACACCTGCAACTTCTGTGGACAATCCTGCCGGTCCTGTATCTGCCTCTCTAGTCACCTCAGAGCTCACCAACGAAGGTGACAGTCCTTAATAACTCATATTATTGTATCATAGCTGGATGATCATTATACTCTAGTGTTCACAACCTCTGGTGGAATGGGACCAAGTGCAAAATGCTTCTACGCCAGACTCGGGGAGGTGCTATCCGAACAGAAGCAGCAGCCCAGAAGTTATGTTACAGCCAGGATGAGATGTCGACTGTCCTTCCTCTCCTTAGGTCGGCTTTGATCTACCTCAGGGGAACGAGAGCATCGGCCCCAAAGCCGACAACAGTTGCAGATATTGACTATGAGGCAACAGTCACTGAATGCCGCATAGATCTGCTGCTAAACTAACTGAACACAGCTAGGATAGCTACTTATGTATTAGGATATTTAATTTTAAGGTAATAAAATGACGGCGAAGCTATGGCTATTAGGGAAAGATGGAGGCCATTTAGTGGAAGAAAAAAGTAGTAGTAGAAGTAGTATTTGTAGTAGTAGTAGCAGTAGTATGTGTGTGCGTGTGTGTTTGTGTGTGTGTATGTGTAAAAAAGAAAAACGTTTACTACAACCATTTGTCTTCTTCACAGGGTAGAACAGTGTAGCTACTCATACCTGAACACAACCACTGGCCTAACGGGCTTTGAGAAGTGTTCTGACTGGGACTTTGACAACTCCACCTTTGTCTCCACTGTTACGTCTGAGGTAAGTGTAACAGGATACTAACCCAAAACGATTTTCCTTTTGAATATAATGCTTGACGATAATGATTGGGGAAAACATTCAGGCTGAATGAAACGATTATTCTGAAGTAAAAGTTATGTTTCATCCTCATGAGCAAAGACATCAATGAAATTAGAATAATATCTGAACCTTAACTTTAGACAATGTTGAAGATCCTTTCAAATGCTGACTTACATGAAACATTGTTGAAGTATGCCAGATGAGAATTCCTTGGTTTGCATTTTTTTTTACGGGGATTATCCCACCCACCCAGGCACAGGTACCGACTCACATCAGGGCCTGGGTGGCTAAAAAGAATTGAACTGAAAATTAATACAGAAATGGAAAAATTCGACAAATCAAGATTGAGAAACGATATACGAGTATATGTTCTGTTATCAAAGAAAGAGAAACAATTGAGACCCTGCAATTGTGTGTAAATGAACCAGAAAGTCAGATTAATAGCCTGGGACTTGGTCACAATTTTTGTGATGCCATATAACAGCAGAGTTACCATTAGACAACACATTACGCTTCCAATATCTTCCCAGGCGGTAGTACCTCCCTGTTTGATAGCTGCCTACTTCCTACTACCTAATGTGAATTAATTTAGTAAATTTGAAATATAGTTTGCCTCTTATCAGCCAGAGAATTATGGGAAAGAATGTAAACTGAATTTACCAAGTTTACGATAAGGAATTTTCATATAATGGTGGGTCCTTTGTGTTTTTCATTTGAATAGTGTTACAGTGTCTGCCGTAATTTCCTTTGAAAATATTGAATGACCTTCTAGCATAGGTGCTGATTTTTTTTATTCAAATATGTGAGATAAACTCGTCTAGCTTAAAACTGAAAATCTTCTGACTCCTTAAGTGTGAGTGGATTGCAACTGCTTGTGAGATTCCATTATCTGTCTGTCTCTAAGCAAAATGCTCTAATCATAGTTTTAAGGGTGTTGTGGAAGCACTCTATGACTTTCTGATTTGAGGGTGGAAAGCCGTCGAAGGACACACTGTTAGAAAATTCAGTATTTTTTACATGTTTCATTCTGTATTTCCGTCCAGGAAAACGTAGTAATTTGAATTACTTTATTTGTTCTGTAAAATATTTCAGACACTCTCTTTCTCTTTTTTCAATTTGTTTAATTATTAATATAAACTGACATTTTATAATACTATATACACTTCATGATGCATAGAACATTTAAAATTGCATGTTAATGCTATTTATTTCTATATGTAATTACTGAATATGCGGTTGTTTGCGCTTCACGTTCGTAGTATGTCCGTGTTTGTTTACCTTATTTGAAAGAGGCGCATCACTCGTTGAAACGGAAGGCAGCTTAGAGGTATGCCTTAGCATATTTAGCTAGATTAATGGAAAATCTTTACAATGGATATCTAGTATACTGTACATGTCTCTGTAAACATGTTAGTCGGCTAAAAATATGGTTTGACCCCAAACAAATTCCTACAAAAGGTTTCTCAACTGTTTATTGTAGTATCAGTAGTGCTTAATAACATATCAAAAGTCTACCACAGTCTGACCACGAGAAAGGTCTCATTTTCAAGATGGCGTCGAAGTTAGCCACCTCATCCCTAAAATGCCCGCTACTCCTTCATTATTCATCCTAGACAAGTAATTTTGGTGCCTAACCCCATGTTTTGGGGATCTAGGAATCCAATTAGCATATCTAAATTATAGTGAAGTCATTACATATTACATAATTTAAGATGGAGGACCAATATGGCCGCCAAGCTATGAAAATGCCCATTACCCTTTCTAATTCATCTTAGACAAGTAATTTCGTTGTCTAACCCCATGTTTTGGGGATCTAGGAATCCAGTTAGCATATTTAAAATAATAGTGAAGTGATTACAGAATTACAAAATCCAAGATGGCGGACAAATGTGGCCACCAAACTATGAAAATGCCAATGACTCCATCATTATTCATCCTAGATAGGTAATTCTGGTGCCTGACCCCTTGTTTTGGGCATCTAGGAAACCAATTAGCATATTTAACATAGTGTAGTGATTACTGGTAAAAGTTATAACAAATCCCATAAAATATATTTCTGAAAAATGCCTTTGATCTGAACCAGGTTTAAAAATAGTCATAGTCACACTCTTCCTCCTGTAAAGGTTGATTATGTGGATTCTCACAGTTTTCAATTTGACCTGGTCCACAAGCGGGTGTGCATGGTAGTCCGTATCCTCTGCAACTACAACGTGTTCAGCGGGCAGTTGTGCAATTACAGTGGACCATCTGCAGGAGGCTTTCTGGCACAGAAGTTTTCTTGGTCATAACTGGCACAAACTGATTGTCCTCCAGTTTCCATCCCCAATCCACTGCATTCATGTCACTCTCCTTTCCAGTCCACACCATGATCTGGTAATACACTCTAAAGTTGTGATATTTAGTCGAGGACTTGGTAGGAGGGAGACGTTCTGGGGGAACAAATGACAATTTTCTTGATCAAATGGTTGTAGCGCAAAGAGGCAAATGAATCGGTACTCTTGCCACCAAACAGAACTGCCATCGCCTTGCTCCCAAGGTCCTCTATGACACTGTTTGCTTGATTTGGGAACAGAAACGCATTCGCACAGGTCTGAATGGTCAATTCACCATTCACAAGTTTCTGGAACGCTGACTTTTTGCCAACACTGAAAATGCGGGAAGTTGTGTGTCACATCCTGTGAAAGCGTGGATAAACAGCAACTGAGAACACATGTCACTACCCAGGACTTGTTTCATCTCACTGATGTTGTACACCTTAGGAACTGTGGACTTGTCCGAACGAAAATAGAGGCCCCTATTGTTTGCTTCAGCATAGTAGAGGAGAAGGATGAGCAGGTCTGTATCCTCCCCTATCAAGGTCGTGAGCTGATGTTGTGACGCCTTGATTGCAGCCTTGACAATGCCCATGTCTGCATCCCCTAATGCATTGATAACAGTGCAGCCCTTCTTCTGTTGCAACATCTGGAAAAGAAATCATCTTTTCTTCCAACAAACACAGTTTTTGCATTGAAGCTGATGATCGGGCGGGTTTGCCCACGTCGCTGATGAGTATTGTCTTTGATGGAAGGACCTTCACTATAGCCATCAAAAACTACGGTTGCTTTTCCATAATGGCGTATGGTAAAGTCAGCATACATCCGTGCAATGGCACAATAACTGTCACCCTCTTTCCGTGGCAAGCGATGAACCAGGGAACCACCGTCAAGGACATAATGTTCAGTTAGTGGGATAGAATCCATGACAGCTTCTTTTGATTTCTTGCTTGAATACTCAGCAACTGCATGTGCTAGTTGGGGCTTGTCATCTTTACGAAAGATTTCCTTGGCTTCAAACAGGGCTGTAGGGAATGGGCTGAGCTCATAGCTCATTACAACTTCCAGTGAAAGGTCTCGGGCTTTTGACAGAACCAGAAATCTTTGGAACAGCAGAGCAGGATCAATGGTTCGGCCTTGGGCAAATTTGATGGTGGACTCATGTGCGAGGGTTTTTGCCCGGTCTTTCCATTTGAATGAGATCCCAAAAACAGGTTTTCCAACCATTTTTTCAATAATCTCATTCCCAACAGTCTCATGCTCATGCACATTCACATCCTCTTTGACAACTAAACCAGTAATAATGTTTCTCAGAGATGGGTCTTGAGAAAATGGCATGCATGTGGACAGTTTTTCCTTGATCTTTCCCAGGTCAGAGTGATCTCGTTTCATCCTTGCTTCTGTTGATTCTCGGTGTTGCTCGCTGGTCGTGTAGGTGAGGTCATTGAATTCCTGCATTGCATTGTTGTACTCAGATGTGATGGGTATGGACATGGTCCATAATGCGCGCATTTCTTCAGTCATTCCACTTCCATGAGTCAAGCCTCCACTACTCTTTAAAGACCGCATCAGTGTCTGCTCGATCACAAGGTCAGAGCTAAGGCCTGCCCAGCACTGGCTGCTGCGGCGGATCACATGGAAAACCCCTAGAAAATTTGTCATATACATCAGGATGTGTAGCCTCGAGTTGGCACATTTCTTGGACATAGAAATATGCAGATTTCAGATAGTTGTAGTGCCCAGCGGCGACAAATATTGACAGGCAATCTGATACTGCGCGCAAGTGCATCATCCAAGATCCTGTGCGATCCGCTCTGATCACCATTCGAGCAGTCCGCAGCATTCTCTGATAGTTTATCCACAGCTGACTGGTTTTTGACCTTGTACTAAGTTCTGCCTTCTTTGTGTCAATCATATCTTTGATCTGGATCAACATATCTGATGCTACAGCGCTCTCCAAAGTCGTTTCTTTCGCCACCAAGGATGAGTATATTTCTTCCACCTGGCTATTCGACGCCATCTTAAAAATTAGACCTTTCTCGTGGTCAGACTGTGGTAGACTTTTGATATGTTATTAAGCACACCTGATACTACAATAAACAGTTGAGAAACCTTTTGTTGGAATGTTTTTAGGGTAAGGAGGGGTATTTTCATAAATGCAGCCGCCTATGTTTCAAAATCAGTAAGGAGATATGCAACCCATTGCCAATTCCATACATTTGAATATAACAAAAGAATCGATTGCCCATTTACAAGGTGTATAAGGAAGTTATATTCCTTTGCAGGACTGAAAGTTCATATATACCGTGAACACCAGGACAGACCTAAAACAACATATCAGTTTGGGGGATTAAATGTTAATGCTAAATTACATTGCAAGCTATTAATGTGCCAACAAGTATGTGAAGGACTGCAAGCATTATTGAAACATTTAAGACAACATATGAATGAAGGATTCCCAAGGTTTTCATTACCTGCCCGAGCAACCCAGAGATAAAATCTAACCCCTGATCCGACTGCACAGTGGCAGATAGACCAACCTGTGTGAAAAACTTGATGAGGGCTCGAACAACAATTTTCGTTATAAAATTCTGAAGGGGAGTGGCCTCGGGAAATCGGGGAACAACATCAATGATGGTTTGTAGGCAT